ACCCTGACAACACGGATGACACCAGACACGGGGCAACACCAGGACATGGGGGTGTGGCTCTACCGGCACCGGCGGGACAGCGGGGCGGGGAGTGCAACCAACACGGAGACAAGAAACGTGAAAGGGTTTAGCTGAAAGTGGCGGGGTTTGGAGTAAAAGTTGCCAGGAAAGGCCGGGAGACACCACGTGCAGCCCTGCCCAGCCCCAGGGCAGCTGAGCCCGGGGTCCCAATCAATCGGGTTGGAAAAGACCCCTGGGGTCATGGTGCCCACCCTGCCAAGGGCCATGCCAGGCCACTCTCAGGCACACGGTGGAGTTCTGGGGGTCTCCTGTGCAGGGCCAGGAGTTGGACTCGATGATCCTGACAGGTCCCTTCCAGCTCAGGATATTTTTTTTTCTATGATTTTATGATTCTATGATTTCAACTCCCACCTCCAGCAGTGTCCCAGTTTCCCAGGAGATCCTGGCAGAGCCCAGGCCTGAGCCCCACAAGCCCAAGTCCCACTTCCAGGAGGGGATCAGCTCCCAGCTGACGATCCTGAACAGACATTCCAATGGGGATCTGCTCCCTGACCACGGGGATTCACACCAGCTGCACAATTTGGTTGTGCAACTGAATTGTGCCCAGATTCTGAATCTGCACAGATTCTCATTTCTTTCTGAGACAGAGTCTTGTGTCCCCTCTCTCTGACTGCTGCTTTAATTTCTATGGATAATTGTGATTCCAAAGCAGCCTTGCACCTCCCTCTCTCTCCTGCCAGTGCCATCTGCTGCCTTTCACAGCACACTTTTTGTCCCACCAGCCAAGCCTTTCACTCACCTTCTCCTGCCAGCCCAGGTGAAGACATTTCCACACTGATGGGTGCCTTCCTCCAGTGCTGGTGCTGAAGCAGCCTCCCCCTTCCTTCCAGGGCTTCCATCTCAATTGATCCCAAAAGCAGTTTGCAAGGCAGCAGCAAAACCTGTACACAAACCACTATCAGCCCACTCTGGTACAGCAGGAGTCTCAGCTATCACAGAAAGGCATTAATAAGCTGCCTGGATGTGTCTTGCCAGGACAGGTCAATGCTGACTGCTCATTGTTTTCTAGGATTCCAGTTATTTGTTCATTCCAGCAATTAAGTTGGAATCAGGGACACTCATAAGCATTTTTTCCTTTCTCTTTAGATCTGGGCTGCAAAAAATGAATCACCTCCTCAGTAGCCTAACCAGCCTTCAATCTTCCTCCTCCTAAGGCAGACATTTTTGGTCACTCCCAGCTGGAAATCTTTCACAACAAGAACAGGGAGAGGTCGAATCCCCCATAACAGGGGTCAAAATCCCCCTCTAACACACATTCTTTACTGGGATGACTGAACTGGCTTAAACCCACCTCGCTCAGCAGAGGGAACTGGAGGTTGCAGCATGATCCACAACTAAGATTCTTCCCTAAACTGTTCCCTCAGCTCCAACTCCCTCAGCAACGCTTTGGGAAGGGCAAACCCCGGGTGTTATGTCCCGTTTTGGGGGAGGCTCTGAGATATGAAGTGAATTCAGTCCTTTCTCGTCCAGCTGTGGACACAGATGTGTCCACACAGGGCCAGCACTGCGAGAGCTGCTGCTCCAGAGCAGGAATAAGGCCAGTTTTAAGTGGAACTATCCGTCAAAAAATAAGCCTTCCTTTCCTCTCGTTTTGGTCGCCTTCCAACAGAAATACAACTCCTACAACTAGCAGGAAACACTGGAATGATATCCAAGCTTCTAGCTGAGGCATCTAGTTAAAGCCCCATTATCCAAAGAGTCCATAACATGTAGCCAGAGATTTAACAGCAGCTTCCAGAGATTTGGCAAAACCTCCCACACTGGAGAGGCACATTCAGATTTTTTCTAGTGAGATCTGCTGCTTCCTCAGCATCTTTTGCACTATCCAGACATTTTTAGGAAGCAAGGCAGGCAGTGGGGAACAACAGTGAGCATGTTTGAGGGTTGTGTTGCTCAGCATGGGGCTGAAGGCTCCAGACTGATGGGTTTGGTCTACAGCTGACTTACCCAGGCTGAAGTCAGAGCCCATCTAGTTCCTTGCCATGGCCAAGGCTTTAATCATGCTTGCTGTCCTCTTGGAACCTTTTCCAGATCTCCAGTATCCTTTTGGGGACGACAGGCCGTGAACTGCAGGCAATTTTAAGACACAGGTGAGTCATATCAATGACTTTTAATCAGTTTTATGTCAACCCATTAGCTCAAAAAGCTTAACTTTTTTTTTTAAGGTGTATCCACAGCTGAGGTTTCACCCTTTGTAGAGGGATCTAGTTTCCCACCAGTTTGTTCCCAAAGCAAAGCCACCACCTGCAGTCAACATTCTGCCACTGGTTATTTTGTGCAGTGCAAGTCAGCCCCCAGAGTTTGAGGATATTCCACAACCAACAGCAGCACCAAGGGAGAGGAAAAGACAGAACTCATACATGACCTGAAACAAAGCCCAGGGAAATGCCACTCAGATGTTCAAGTGTCCCCTCTCCCCCTGTCCAGGGCTTAGGAGCACAGGATGTAATCAGCAGATCAAATTAGGCAGTTTCTTTCTTTCAAGGTCCCCACCCTGGGTGTGAGAAACCATAGGAGCCCATCATATATGTAGCATACACAAATCTAACTTCAGAGAAAAGCCAGACTGGCTTAGTTTGCCAGTTTAATGACAGAGGGGAAGACTACTCGTTAACTTTCTCTTTAAAGAAGTGGTTTGTCTTTCCTTAGGCTCGTCCTTAAAAAAAAAAAAGAAGTCTTTTTTTTGCCAAGAGGTTTCCTGTGGCTTGACCATGAGTTTTCAATGTGAATTTGCTAGTTTCATATATTTAGGGCAATTAACAGTTGTTTTACAAGGGCCAGCTGTTAGCAATTGTAATGCTTATTTCTGCTTATTGGGGGCAGCTGGAAAGACACAAAACAGGGAGAAAAATTGAGATTAGTAGTATAACTATTATTAGCCTATAATTACATTTTCCAGCCACTTTTTTGGCTTGAAAAAAAATCTTTTACCAACGCTTAATCCCAATATGAGTATTTTACAAACCCAGATCAAAAAAAATAATAATCTTAGCAATACAGGACCAAAGATTTACCTGTTTTGCAATCTTGTCCATGTAGAAGATGGCAAGCATTTCTTGCTGCTTGTGTCCTCTTTGCCTGCTCCTTTTGTTTGCTCTTCTAGCATCAGGAGAGTCTCTGGGATTCACTTCTTCTGGGGACCTGCCAAAGCTCAAATTAGAAGCTACAGAAATCTCAGGGATGCATTTGTGTGGCCAGGCCTTCCCTTCACTCCCAGGATTGCTCCTAGCATGGAGTGCAGTGTCTGCAGGGGGTTAATACATACAGTTTATAGGTGCAATTCACACAGCTCAGAGCCCAAAAATACTTACAAAGAAACAACTCAGTGCCAAAGCAACAACTGGTATTCGTGCTCCTTAAATTAAATGATCAAGTGAATGAATGACAAGAAAGCCTCTGTTTCAAAATCATCTCCCCTGCTTTTGTGCTGCAGAAATATTTAACAGGGCAATAAACGTACAGACCCTTGGAGAAAGCACAAGGAATCTCTCCCAAGCTGCTTGGCTTCCCACTGCTCAGCCCAGTGGCAGAAGTGACTCTAATCCCATTTTCCCTGCATATCTTGCCCCAGCACACAGGCCAGGTATACATGATTTGGCTTATCAATGTGTTTTCTCTCATGGACCAACTACAGGCTGCCCTGCCCTCAGAGGAGGCTTGACACTGCAGTGGAGAGCTCTGGCTTTTAATCCTTCCTGTGACAGAGCACACTCACCAAGACACTGCCTGCTTGGGGCTGAACAGGGTTGAGAGGCTGGCCCAAGATTTGAGGTCCAAAGTACCTCCTCCAGCTGCTTCCCTCTAAAACCAGCTCTTCTCGCAAGACCCAGTTCTGGGGCCAGTCAGGGTCAATAAATCTGTTAGTTTGTTTTAACAGCAGGGTGGATACTTCCCTTAGAGATTATATTTCAATCCTTTATCTTATTAAGGGAAGATGTGTTTTGTCCATTAATCCAATTAGCCCGGTGGATTAATAAGATCTGGCTTGCTCTGTCTCAGGAAGCACACAAATAGCAGCGAGGCATAATTAAACCTTAAACTTGTAAGTAATTCTGCTAAGAGTCCTGTTTCCTTGCATATTTTGTTTGTTATTTTTACAAGCCACGCTCTCAAATTACGTGACGTGAATTCTCGATCAGAACGGCTCAATTCATGACCAAAAAGCAAAAGGCTGCCCTGAAAACATTTACTTTCATATGTTTATAAAATTCTCTTTGTGCTAAATATAGCCACGTAGGGTCCAGCCCAGAATAATGTTTTCAGTACTTGAGAGGAATCTGTTTGTTCACTTATAAAGGAATGAAAATAATCTGTCATTATTCTGACATGTGCCTTGGCACAGCACACTCTCTGATCAGAGAAATTCGCTGACAAACTCAGCTGTGGCTTTGGGTGCTGGAACACTGAACAGCTCCAGCCTTTGGATTTATACGGCTCCTGGCACGTTTCCCTGTTTGAGGACATATGGTCCTTAACTTTGAACAGTGCTCTTATGTTATGGATACACAACCCGGAGAAGCTTGGAATTGAAAAAAAATAAATAAAAAATACTGGCGGGATCCAAACTCCTGTGCTAAGAACAGCTCAAATTATTGCATAAGCACTGCTGTCTCAGTAACTCCCGTTCGGCCAAATGCAGGATTGCTGATGGAACGAAGCAGGTGCGGGGATAAAAAAAATAAAAAAATAGAGGGAGTTTACTCTCGGGCAGCCTCGCGAACTGCAGAAGTGATTCCAGCGCAGAACTACATTTCCCAGCGCTCCCAGTGCGGGAAGAGCGGCCGGCCCAGTGAGAGCCGCTCCGCGGAGGGAGGCTGAGCCCCGGGACGATCCCAGCTGAGCCCCGGGACGTTCCCAGCTGGTCCCCGCTGCTGGCCAAAGCCCGGCACCGTCCCGGGCGGTCCCTGCTGCCGGACACGGGCTGCAGTGAGTGGGGAATCCCTGGGGAAGGGCGGGCACAGCCCCGCTCCGGCCCGGCCGGAGGAGCTCCCAGCCCAGCCCCGCGGGCTGTGCCGTGTCCGTCAGACCGGGCTGCTCCCAGCCCTGCCCAGCCCGGCCCGGAACGCTTCCAGGGGTAAGCTGAAGGAT